AATTGGTGGCTGACTAAATACTTTTTTTCCCCACTGTATAAACATTAAAATTATATAATGACATAATTATGTTTCTACTCCAATTTGTTGAAAAGGTGGCTGCAATAAAAATTTGTTTTCATGACAGATTTATTCAAACTTAGATTAAAGAGATAGTTCACCCAAAAATGAAAATTCTGTCATTAATTACACACACTCGTGTTGTTCGAAATCCGTAAGACATTCGTTCATCTTCGGAACACAATTTAAGATATTTTTGATGAAATCTGAGGGCTCCCTAGACAGCAAGGTAACTACCACATTCAAGGAAAAGTGGTCCAGAAAAGTACCAAGATGTCCGTGTGACATCAGTGATTCAACTGTAAAGTTACGAAGCTACGAGAATACTTTTTTGGCACAAAGAAAACAAAAATAACGACTTTATTCCACATTTTCATCAAAATAATGAGAATACCACAAAAAAGTATTCTCGTAGCTTCGTAACTTTACAGTTGAACCACTGATGTCACACGGACTACTTTGTCGATCATCTTGGTACTTTTCTGGACCTTGAATGTGGTAGTTACCTTGCTGTCTATGGGAGGACATGTTGGACATATGTTTTTAAGAGAGCCCTCAGATTTCATCAAAAATATCTTAAATTGTGTTCCGAAGATGAACGAAGGTCTTACGGGTTTGGAACAACACGAGGGTGAGTAATTAATGACAGAATTTTCATTTTTGGGTGAACTAACCCTTTAAATAAAGACAACTAATATTAAGTAAAAATTAATAAAACAGTTCATGTTTAACAAAATGTTTTTTTTTTCTAGCTGAATAATGAGTTTATGTATGTTTATGTGATTTTGGTGAGATAAATGTAACATTACGTGCCTTATTGTTTACAAGCTGTTTTATTGGTGTCTTTTTAAAAACAAGAAATCGAAATTGTTAATCTAGCACTAGCACTACACATCTGACATGTTTATCTGTTGGAGTTTATCCACGTTGTGTGCACCATATGTGCCATCAAGAGAAATACTACTGCTAGAGTCAATGAATTCGGCCCTCCAAAACAGTTTTGGCCGAAACCGAAAATTCATTTTGGTGCAACACCATTTGGCATTATATTAGCAGTCAGGATATTAGGCATTCCCAACAAAGTTTAACAAGTCTATTCCAACAGCCTTCAAAGAGATGAAATGAGAAGGTTGGACGTACTTGACATTGGTGTTGGTGCAGATGATGTACTCAATCTCGTCTGAATAAGGGTTCTGGAAGGTGAAACTGCTGGTTCTGATGAGCATCCACTCTCGGTTCTTCAGCCGGAACCGATACATGACCGAGAGAACCTGCCCTTTCAGCTTGACCACCTAAACACCACAGGAGAACACAGGAGGACGGGGAACATCAGTTCACATCACATGCATTTACATCTTAGAAATTCAAACATCACATTACGCAACTGCATGTTACTTTGCGAAGAACTTTTAAAAGACCTTTTAGATAACTAATGGTGCGAACCTTGCCACTGTCGCTTTTGGCTTGCTTGGTTGGGGACGCTTGATTTCTGGCAATACTGTGGACTTGATTGCACAGACATTATTGGAAGATAGCTGAACTGGATGATGACCACTGACTCATCAATGAACTGAATTTAACTGAAAAATTGACTGTTTGTTACTGTCCTCTTGCATTATTGACAAACTATTTCCCTGTTTGACACTGTAAAGCACAATCTGAATTGTATAAAGCACTATATAAATAAAGGTGACCTGACTTAACTTGACAAATACGCTAACTACAGAGTTAGGTACAAACTAGCTAGTAATTACTGAGCCTCTAACGTGGACTTTATTATTTAAAGTAAGAACATACAAATGGCTGGTGCAACCCTACTGGGGTCTTTATTTTAATGCTTGACATGAGTGAACAATGACTGTAATCAGTGAAAGAATGAGCAAAATATGACCAATCGGTTCCTACAGCAAATACCAAACCTATTATTAAAGTCCCCCACCAGGATCTAAAATTAACGCTTGTCATGTGCCAAATGTGAACACAAATTGGCTTTAGAAATTAGGAGCATGAGGAATATTACATGCTTTATGCATGAGTGATTCAATTCAGAAAACAATCAAACCCACTGCATTACAGACAACATCAATGACTAACAAAGTTAGTGTTTACCTCAGTGGAAAATCTACCATCATTGGTTTTTCTAGGATGCATAAGAGTTTTTCCCCTTTCAGAACTCCATGTAGTCGATGCAAAAAAATAAGTACGAGGAGCAAGATCTCAATTTGTCATCTTCATGCTTTTGTGACAAGACAGGCTCATTTTGAGCTAAAGTCAGACTCTGAACTTTATCCACATGCTCTCCACAGTCACCTCTATTGTCACTTAAAGTAATGTTTGCCCATTCAAATACAGAGATTGCTTTAGATACAAAAGCTGTGTTCAGAGAAAACAACCTTCCATTCAACAGAGCATGAAAGACAACGAGAAAGATCTTCAGAGTTAAAAAAAAAACCCTGATGAAAACTGCTCTCTTAAACAGCACAGATGGCCACACTTCAAGTGAGAAAAAAAGAAAAAGGGAAACTTGACTTTTTTGGATGTACATTCTGCTTTGAGAGAGGAAAGAGGATATGGGATATATATTTTTTTCTGCTTAGTAGTAATAAACTGAGAAGTATACATAGTTAAGCAGTAAACAAATGCTACTGCTAAAGCAAATTTAATATAATTGGGAAACATCAATGCAAATCATATAATCTGATATAATTCTGAGAAACAGAATTTTCAATGACTTCGATTAGGCCATATAGCTGATAGCCAATACTGATAATTATTTTAGATTATAAAGCCAAATAACTGATTTATTGACTGATGACAGATATTGATCTACATTGTGAGACTAACAAAAAAAAAAGCTGATCTTTAAAGTTCAGATTTTAGTATTATTTCTGTAATATTATAGTATTTAATAATATATAGAATTCTTATTTTTCTATAAATATTTATAATTTTAATATATAGAGCTCTTATTTTTATTTCATCCTTTTTATTTTGTTTTATGTGCTTGTCATTTTTATTAGCTTTTGGATTCTTAAATATTTATATATAACTTTAAACTTTATTTAAGCTTTAGTTTTAGTAATTCTAGTACCTCAAGTTAATTTATTTCTGTTATGTGCCAAAGCAACATTTCCAATTTCTGTTTAGGTTTTTTAAGTTTAAGGTTTTTTTTCTAATATTTATATTTCATTTATGTAATATGTATATAATTTAAGTTGACTTTAGGAAGCCAGGGAATTCTGGATTGTGAAATCAGGGCAGGATCGTTTTCCATTCTTTTATGACAAATGGTCTCTTCATCTTCACGCGGTAAAGATTCTGTCAAGTAAGAATCCAGTAGTCCGCAACATCGAATTATTTCATGCAACCCCGTGAATGTATATTGTTCTAGTCTCTGACATCTGCCGAGACTCAATATCGAAACTACAGGCCAAGAATAACACGCTTTCACCGTCTCGCTACGCAAAAATTGTCGGCTTTTGTTCAACTTGGCTTCAAAAGTACAAGATAAGACACAGATAAGACTCAGAAACAGGTGTGTGTTTGCGGACGCCGCCTCGTGTGTGTGTGGTCTCGAGTTTTGAAGACATCCAGTTATCTGAAGGCTTTTCTGGATGTCAGCCAGAGGGGTCTTTATCAGCCGTCAACAGACCTACGCAGAGAAACAGGCGAAAGTACTTTGACAAATCTCTTTGTGGCGTACCTGACCACTCAACCTTGGCCTTCCAGGAGAAGTGAGGTGGAGGATTTGAGGGGCTTTTAAGAAGCGAAGCACGTAATATAGAGGGCACAATCATCTAGGGAGTAAAAACACTGCGCCCACCCTTCAAGTGCCCACAATATTATCCCGAGGTGGAATACCAACGCACACGCACACACACACACACACACAGTTGGCATAAATGCATGTGGACATCAGGATGTGAAGAGAATACTGATGATAGCTGTGAACTCACAGACAGGAAGTTGAAGACAAAGAAAAAGGGGCCAAAAAATACCAAAAGCTGGGGAAATAAAGAGCAGGATAAAAGAAAAACTGAGTTTTTGTAGAAGACCAAAGATAAGGAGACCGGATGAGATGCTCTTAACCTCATCCTGTATCCTTATCTTTGGCCTTTTACAAAAACTCAGTTTTAAAATTAAAATTAGTATTAAAATTACTAGAAATAATACTGAACAAAAAACTAAATTAAAGCTAACTATATATATATATATATATATATATATATATATATATATAACATGAACGACACAAAAATAACATTAATAACAAATAATAAATGTACAAAATGCCAGATTTAGCATTAAGGAAGTTAAGGATAAAGAAAAGGGTCTGGAAAAGAGTGAAAGTCAGGAAAATAAGGAGCAGGATAAAAGAAAAAAGGCAGGTTTTGCAAAAGACCAAAGATAAAGAGATGAGGTAAAGAGCAGGAACAGAGGTGATGCAACACGAAGAGCGAGAGGAGGAAATCAAAAAGACCTTGTGAAGACACCAGCTTGCGGTTTAATTGGCAGCGGGACACAAAAACAGAAAAACAAACAACAATAGCTGCAACAGAGAAAACCTCTTCAAATGGCATCCAAAAGGAAGACCGTGGAAGCGACCACTCAACCAGTCTTCAATGTTCTCAGCAGGTACTCGACGATCTCAGAGAAACTCTCAGCGGTGGCCAACCAACACGTATTAACTGATGGAGACTTTCAGCTACTGGTACTGAATGACTAACCAAGCAGCACTCAAGTTCACTTCCTAGTGCTGACTGGAGCAGGGGAAGCAAAGGATCGTGGTGCAGGAAGAATATGTTTTTACTGGCAAGCAATGTTTCACATAATGTCAGCCCAGAGCTCAGAGTTTGCTCTTTCACAGCTCTGGAGTCTAGCGAGTTCTCACCTTGTCTTAGATGTTTCTCCTAAAATTCCTGAGTAGAAACAAATGAAGAGTTCATTTGCAAAAACCGATAAACGCCACTTTAAAAAAAAAATGCATTATTTGTGCATTATTCTCCACATATAGCGCGATCTGAACCCTAAACACGTTTTGTCCACTTTCAAGGCATCACGAGTTCACGTTTTACTGCAGAAGCCGACACGCGCCCTGGTTGTTTTTGAACAGAAGCCGATAAATCCATTTTAGCGAATCAGCGCGCTGTATTCAGGTCAGGTGACAAGGCTAGTTTCACTTTGAAAAGACGTGCTAGCTGAGAGGAGTTTCATCAAAGGAACTTGGAAAATAAAAGCTGAAACGTTTTCACGGAAGCTTGCAAAAGCAGCGCATTACAATGGTGAAGGAAAAGCTCCGTGTATTGCGTGTAATCACATCCATACAGTTTATGATCACAACAACAATGTTTTTCAGGCATCTACATTGTCATCTGATGAGATTACAAAGATTAAACAAGACAAGCGCAGTTGTCAATGGAAGGCGACGAGACCTAAATTGTACGTAGATGAGATGCCTCTGGTTATAGTGCTTTTTAGATGGATGCTGAGGCTTTTTAGGTTGGGTAGAATCTGCGATCTCTGATCCAGTTTGTTTGATGGTTTCCATGGCTGCAATACTCGTGTTTTCTGCCAACTGGTAACCCGGGGTTTCAAAATACTATTGGGTAAACTGGCAATGGGCGGAATCACACAGACCAAAACAAAAACAGACATTCCGACACGGAACACACATATCAAAGTAAAATAACTGGCTGTTGCATGGTTTTTTTTGTAAAAAAGTATGTGAACTTAGCAGTTTCCTAAATATCTGCAAACATATTACGGTATTTTTATGCTTCAGTGCAGTCAGAAAAATTACATACAGCAACTTTAATATAAAGTTGCATGTTGAGTGAAACTGACCTGAGGCTGGTAGCCAATCACGTTGATGCAGCGAGGGTCCACGAAAGTGATAATGCCATCTGAGTTGTGGCGGGAAAGGAATTCCGTCGGCACAGAGAGTCCGTTCATATCCATGGAAACTGGAGAACTGGTCACCTGAGAGACAAGATAAAGGGATTTTTACAAAATCAGGATATTCAAACAAACAGACACATGTTTTGTAGGATAGGATTCATAGGATTATGAAAGAATTAGTTATAGTTGTCTATGCACATTAAGATGTGGGAAGGTATTTACTGAATAAAAATCACATTTAAATGCTAGACATATCAAAAAGACATGGATTAGACATATTTTGAAACATTAAGATTTCAAAAGTTGAAACAGTTTTCTGCAGTGACCCGGAGTATAACAAGTGAGTTTGTTATTTGAGAGATGACATGGTGCTTTTTTTATAATGAAAGATGACTTAAGCTTCCAGAAATATCATGTGACAAAAAATGTAGGTTTAGGTAAATGTCAGAATCAACATATCCCAATACATCTTCTGTCCAGATTATGTATTACATACATTCTGAAATCTCAGACTTATCAGAACTCATCGATATAAATTAAATACTATATTCCAAAGGGAGAATCAATGATCTCTGATGCATTTGTCTTTAACTCATCTTGATCTATGAAGTTGTATTAAGAAACAATGCAATGTTGTTGCATGCATGTGTACAACAACACTTGGAGATGTGGGTTGTTGCTAGGAGGTTGCTATGTAGTTTAGGAGTGATTTTAGCAAGTTATGTTTGCGAGCGTGTTGTGGAAGCTTACAAATATGTTGCTATGTGGTTGCTGGGGTGTTCTGGATGGTCACTAGCCTGTTGCTATATGGTTGCTAGGGTGTTTTAGTTGTTAGAATGTTGCTATGCGGTTGTTAGGGTGTTCTGGTTGTTAGAATGTTGTCATGCGGTTGCTAGGGTGTTCTTGTTGTTAGAATGTTGCCATGAGGTTATTAGCATGTTCTAGTTTTTTAAATGTTGCTATGCGGTTATTAGGGTGTTCTACTTGTTAGAAAGTTGTCATGCGGTTGCTAGGATGTTCTAGTTTTTAGAATGTTGCCATGAGGTTACTAGGAAGTTCTACTTGTTAGAATGTTTCCATGCAGTTGCTAGGGTGGTCTAGTTTTTAGAATGTTGCCATGCAGTTACTAGGATGTTCTAGTTGTTACAATATTGCCAGTCTTCCAATCGCAACCAAGCAGTATTTGCTGGTTTGACCTGCTTCTGTATCTTCATCCGGGATGGTCATACCTGGAAAAGTCACAAGAAGAGTCATTTGTCCAAACAAACACTAACAGCAGACTGAAAACATGTGGAGATCCTGATGACCAACATGTTTATTCCTACATAATTTTCTAATGAGATGCTCTGTTGCAACAGCACACAAGGACCTGTTTGGGAATCTTTGCGCAAAAACGTCTCTTCGAGCCCACTAATAGCATCTGCTTGATATTTTTGTCCACGTCTCCTTGACTCATCAGGAGTTTGCATAATGCATAATGACTTTTAGTTGTCCAAAACCAGTAGCAAAGCAGTTATTGTTCCTGGATGCTGTCGTGACGTGGAGTAAATGGGACATGAAGTCACGGCAGATGGGAATCAGGGCGGAGGAGCGATTCCTATCCTGGAGTTTGTTTAAGCAGGAACATGAATCTCTTTTTAATTACTTTAATGATTTCTCGTCGACACACTTCCTACTTTGACTTGATCCATAACTATTTAAAGACTTTCTATAAATGAATAAGAAAACCACAACTGGAACCAAGGCCACTGAAAAACTCTTGCAAACCAACTTCTCAAGGTTAAACTGATTCAAACCAGTAACTTTTGAGTCTTTTAGACTAATTCATTTAAAGAATCGCATCATAAGACTATACACTTGTCACACTTTATGTTTGCTTTTTACGAATGCAGCAAATATATACAGTACAATATAAATACAGAGAGACATATGGTAAATGTATTGCCTCATTGTCATTATTTCATGGTCTGTTCCCACATTCACACTGCAAACTGTCACCTCGAGTAAAATACAACTCAATTCATCAGCGGCGCATGCCGGTGCAGGGAACACTAGTTCGCAAAACTAATGACTCTGTGCTACAAATAAACAGGAACGGAATATATATCACTGAATAAATGACACATTCAGGAGAAAAAAACCTTCTCTACAAGCAGGCTGCATACTATGGACAGATGCACCGATGGTTTGAATTAATTTACTGCCTTTAATTTGCACAAACTGACATTATACAAGCAGACAGAATTCATTTGGTCGCATATCAAAGTAATAAAGAGCACATAAAGTCTTGTGTTTATGCAAACGCAATGAAACTGATCAACAATGCATATCAGGGCCATCTGGTGAGGCCAGAGCGCTTCCTAACTACGTTAAAGCAGTGATTACCATTCAGTGTGATGAAAACGATTCGAGATGTCTTTGTTTAGATCACCACATTCCGATATGACACCATAATGGCTGACAATCAAGCGTTGCGGGTTATTTTTATCCTTACTTTGTGCCACTATGCAACAAACAGGATGTCCAGCATGTGTAATTAATTTTTACGACACACACATTTGTTGGAGATGCGCTTGGGGAATACCTGGACAACCTCCAGCAAAGATATGAAGGTATAAGTTCACATTTTTGAATTCAGGGTTGCTCAATTCTATTTCTTCTTTTCTCACTGCACACATGCTGTTGTGCTAATGGGAATCGCAGGCCGGGGGGGGATTTTGCATGCCGGTGTCATATGGGAGTCATCCAAAACTCCAGACAGTTCTGCCGACTGAAGGATTCTAATGGAATTTAACACCGAATTCCAGAGTTCTGATAGTTCAAGGAGTTCAAACACATGTTTCAAACAATGTGTTCCATTAGGCTTCGGATTGTGAGTTTGAGGACTTAAGCAAAACACATTCATAATGTTGCTACTACTCATTTGTACTCAGATATTGAGTAAAAAATGTTTTTACTAATATTAACAAGTGGAACTTGTTGAAGTGGTTCCAAAAAAGATTCACTGAATCATTTGCATCACTGCATGCTGATGTTAAATGCAAACTTAAAGGAATACTTCACCCAAAAATGAAAACTGTCATCTTTTAATTACCTTCATGATGCTACAAACCCATAAGACTTTGGTTCGTCTTCAAAACACAAATTAAGATTTTTTTAAATTAAGTTTTAATGAAACCTAAGGTCCTGAATCAACGAGCACAAGACGCATGGGTGAGCTTTGCCATTATGTCTTCGCTACGTACTGTATGTGTGTTTATCAAATAAGTCTGTTCATCATATTTCCATATACATATTATACTAGTCTCAAATCAACTTTTAGTTACTCACTCCACAAACCTGGTACACTTCTGTGTATTGGTTTGTTTGTATATTTGTATGCTTCTCTCTGATTCAGTGGCTTTGGACTGACTGTGTTTGAGTGTGTTTGTGTAAGTACCCGCTGGCGGCCAGGCCTTGATGTAGCCGGTACAGTGCACAACAGAGTACTGCGCCTCCCCCTCCTTAGATGGGCCAAGACCATTCCTGTGAACGAAAGAGACACACAAAGAGAATGAAACCAACAAAACATGTCTGGTACTCGTGTTTGGTACTTTAAAGTTGGCATTCGGGACATTTGAGGATTACGTTCTGCAGGATCTGATTTGGAAAGCCGGCACGAACCTCAGTAAAAATGTTCCCTTTAGCATTTCACATCAAAACAAAACACAGAAGCACAACAACAACACGACTCCATCTGCACACATCAAGATGATTGCAGTTCTGCTTTCCTAAAGTTTGTATTTCAATACCATTTTCAATTCATTGCTGTTTAAAAGTTTGGGGTTGGTAAGATTTTATGTTTGTATGTTCTTATGCTCACCAAGGCCGCATTTATTTGATCAAAAATACAGTAAATTATTAAATAATATTACTATTTAAAATATCTGTTTTGTATTAGAAAATACTTACAAATTTTATTTATTTCTGTGATGCAAAGCTGAATTTGCAGCATCATTACTCCAGTCTTCAGTGTCACATGATCTTCAGAAATCATTCTAATATGCTGATTTTCTGCTCAAGAAACATTTCTAATTATGATCAAATATTGAAAACCATTTGCCATTTAATATTTGTGTTTTTTCTTCTTCTTCAGGATTCTTTGATGAACAAAGTTCAAAAGAAGAGCTTTTATTTGAAATACAAATCATTTGTAACATCATAAATGTCTTTCCTATGATTTTTTTTGATCGTTGCAATGCATTCTTTTGTATAAAAGTTAATTTCCAATTCTCACTATATACTAGTTGTTCATTAGCATGCATATTACTAGCATATTGGCCATTTATTAGTACTTATAACCACATATTAATGCCTTATTCTGCATGACCATATTTTAGATCCCTTAATCCTACCTAAACTTAACAACTACCTTACTAACTATTAATAAGCAGTAATTAGGAGTTTATTGAGGCAAAAGTCATAGTTAATAGTGAGAACTGGACATTAAAATAAAGTGTGACCTAAATATTAGTTTCAGTTTAGTTTTTATTTCTATTTAGGTTTTAGATATTTCATGCAAGTAATGCAATTTCTATGTGTATAACACCAACAAACAGAATTGTAAATAATTTTGTCAAAACGTAATGAATTGTAGCACTGACACATTGAAATGTATTTTTAACACTGAAAACAATGTACAGACTTTAAGTAATTAAACACGATGAACAAAAATATTCATTAAAAAGAATAGTTTAGGAGATATTAGAAAAGCGAGGGGCAAACAAAATTTGCACATTATGGACTCTGAATCTGACTTTTTTGTTCCATCCATTAATACTAAAAACTTTATTTTTGTTTATTTCAGATTTCGGGTCCAACTTCTAGCTATGTCATGCCATTTATTATATTATAAACTGTATAATATAAAAATATTATAACTGTGCAAGAAACACCAGGTCATGGGTTTGATTCCCAGGGAAAACACGTAATGATAAAGAATATTGCTTGAGTGCACTTATGCAAGTCATTATGGATAAAAGCATCTACCATTTCATTATAATAATAATAATAATAATAATTCATTACATTTATATAGCGCTTTTCTAAGCACTCAAAGCGCTTTACATTGTCAGGGGGTATCTCCTCATCCACCACCAGTGTGCAGCATCCACCTGGATGATGCGACGGCAGCCATAGTGCGCCAGAACGCCCACCACAAACCAGCTTATTGGTGGAGAAGAGACAGAATGATGAAGCCAATCAGTAGATATGGGGATTATTAGGATGCCATGATGATCAGAGGCCAATGGGCAAATTTGGCCAGGATGCTGAGGTCACACCTCTACTCTTTTCAAAAGACATCCTGGGATTTTTAATGACCACAGAGAGTCAGGTCCTCGGTTTAACGTCTCATCCGAAGGATGGTGCTTGTTGTCAGTATAGTGTCCCCGTCACTACACTGGGGCGTTAGGACCCACACAGACAACAGGGTGAGCACCCCCTGCTGGCCTCACTAACAGCTCTTCCAGCAGCAACCTAGTTTTCCCAGGAGGTCTCCCATCCAGGTACTGACCAGGCTCAGCCCTGCTTAGTTTCAGTGGGTAACCAGTCTTGGACTGCAGGGTGAAATGGCTGCCGGTATGATATGCTATTATAAATAGTAATGAAAATCAACTTTTTTTGTTTTGGATTTAGCATCAACAATATCCTTCATCCACACTGGCCCCTCTCACCTCGTTTTGTGAACTGTATGACACTTTTGTACAAATGCTTGACACACGTACGCCATTTATCAACTAGACATCTGCTATGTACTTTTCTCTCAGATGTTCCTGGAAGAAGTGATTCCTGCATTCCAGAGTTGTCAAAACCCGCAAAACACACAGCGCTGCAAGTTTGATGCAGACCAACAAGACGCCTGCTGCAGAGAGGAGGCCAGCGGGTTAAACATCAGGGTCAAAGGGCAAATTACAGGAGGAATGAACAGGAACATTGGCGTTACATTCTTAGGAACAAATTCTAAGAATTTACTTAAAGGAAGCTAAATTCCTAGAAGTTGTTCACGTAATACCAAATGTTCTAATTGACACCGAAAAGTGTCGCAAGACAAATTGTGGTTCAGATAAGAGTTTATTTAATAAACCGAGTGCTGCTACTTTCATTGTTTGAAGACTTACCATTATACCATGTTCAAAAAAAAAAAAAAAAAGTGAAATCTTGCTGGTGTAACTGATGTATTCAGGTTCATTCAGTCATATTAAATTATATTTTTTGACTTAAATCAAACTAGTTAATTTGTATGTTACCACGATTTTTAGGTTAACTGACAAAACATGTTCTCAGAGTAATACCATGGTACTTTTTTGTTAGTTTAGTTTTTAATGGGTTTGATTGCATGTGTAAGCCAAAAAAAATTGAACTAGCAATGTAACTTACTGCATAAGTTCCGTTTTGAATTAGAGGATGTTTGGTTAATAGTTTGGGGTTGAATAACTGCAGAATTGGGTGAAAATTTGAAAAAAATTATTCTTACCTGTATCTCTTTCTCATGCTGGACAACCGATTCAGTGAAATATGATCCAGTGGAGCACTGCCACACCTAAATAAACATATAAAAACAGTTAAATTCTCATCATAAATGGATAAGAATACAAATACGATGTACATTTTTGTTAAACATTAAAGTTTAGAAACCTCAAATTAAATAGGTTATTTATGAAAATAAAACGATGAAAAAAAATATATGAAAAAAGCAAAGAAGATTCTGATTAAATAAAATGTACTCAAGGGCTGTATTAACCAGAAAGTAATGTAACAAACAAACAAAAAAGAGGAAATAATGACAGTTACATTTTTTTTGTTAAACATTAAACTTTGGAAACTTCTACCTAATTATATTTATACCTAGTTATGACATTAATGATCACTATAAAAAATATTGCATTACTATTATAATAATGATACAAAGTTTAAATAAGCAAAGATTTAGAATAAATAATGTGTACTCAGAAAAATAAATAAACAAAAAAAAAAAAATATATATATATTTTTTAAGAAAAGACTGACAATTCAAAATTTGTGTTAAACTTTGGAAACCTCAACTTAATTATTGGCACTTATGGCACAAATTATCACTTATTTTAATAAAAAAATGTTTTTATCATTTTATCTGTTCATGATAAAAAAATTAAATATGAAGTTCCTTAAGTGTAGCACAACCAGCAAAGAAGATTCAGATTAAATAATATGTACTCAGAGTTTGCGTTAACTAGAAAATAATTAAATTCATTCATTCATTCATTAATAAAAGATTGACACTTCAGTCATTTTGACAGATAAAAACAAGAATACTTACAGGTATATATATATATATATATATATATATAAAAATCAAAGCTAAAAAAGGTGATTTTTACAAGTCAGTTCAAAGTGATAACTAATAATTATTTATAGCACAAGCACTGATGTATGCTAGTTACCATATCATGACTATATATAGCTGTTATCATTTGAATCCAGCCAGCAAAGACAGTAAAGACTACATGAGTGACCTGAAATCTCTGACCCTGTTGAGGAGTAAAACAGTTCACATCTGTTCCAACTTGAGCTGTTTATCTCCCAAAATCCCTTCCATTCAACCTGGCAAGACAGTCTGTCTCTGTCAAATAGGTTGTCCAGTTATGCAAATAAACAGCACGTACGTTTTTGGATGACAAGTAAGCAAGCATCCCTTAGAGTTGAGTCATCATGATATCTAATAGCATTAAAGCATTGTGTAAGAACGACGATCATGTTTTCGAAGGGTTCTGTTTATCTCAAGCGTTTTTACACACACTCAACAGATGCGCTCATTTGCTGGCATGCGGTTTCAATCTGTCAAAGAGCCACAAATAGAAAACATTAAACATGAGCACATTCTTGATGTCGCTAACTCTCATATTTACGTGCTCAAGGAAGCACAAAAACACATGTGGCTTAATCATACGTTATGTTGGAATTTGCTCGTCATGGTTTGTGACTTAAACTAGGACGGACATTCGAAACTAAATCGGGAAATGCATCTTTGCATCTGTTGTTAGCCTAAAAAGAGACCGTTTCAAAACAACATTATGAATGAAAACACCTTCTAAACGTACTGCAGGAAGGACAGGAATGATCAGCAACAACAACAATCACGTTTCTGTTTGCCTCATTGCTGACAAATCCAATTATTAATGCATTTTGTTGTCTTGAAAGTTCATGGAGGCTTTAAAATGAAACAGCAAAAATTGTATTTTTATGCTCAAAATAAAAGACGGCGAAAAAAAACACTTGGATAAAAAGGTAAATATTTCATACAGGATCATAATGAAGCAGTTTAGGACAGAAACGTGCTGAGACTCTATTAATGTTATGCAGATTGACTGATTCTATAACACTTTCATTAATAAACATAGGTGTGAATTTATTTATAAGTAGTGATATAAATGTTCCACAATAATAACCTTTTTAAACAAACAATAAAATCAATCTGTTGAGAGTGGCATCCTAATATCTAAAAAATGGACGATGATGATGGTTCATTTGTTTTATTGTACAACCCCAAATTTTGTGTTCCCGTCATTTTACTGACGACTGCTTCTCTAATCTCGTGGAGTTCAACATGAGATTCACAAAACGCTTGCTGTTGAAAGATGAGCTCAGTACCCAATATCCACTGAAACACTACCTGTATGTATGATAAATAATAGATGTTCATATTTTATACTGAGAGTTCAAAAATACAAAACCATGGCAACGGGCGTATTATTTCTGACACACGCTGTATGCAGTAGACCAATCACAACTGACTGAGCCATCTGACCAATCAGAGCAGAGCAGGCTCACAGAAAGGAGGGGTTTAGAGAGACCGAATCTTAGAACTGCTTCGAATTAATCGTTTGAGAATCGCTGGAAAATGAGGTGATATTAAATACATATATTAAAGGGGTGGTTCAGTGTTTTTTTTCTAGGCTTGATTGTGTTTATGGGGTGCAGTCTAACATGTGTTAATGCTTTGTTTTTTAAAAAACGCATTATTTTTCACATAATTTACCTTTATTCCACACCGCTCTGTCCCTTCTCTTAAACACCCTGATCATTTCCTTCTTTTATGAAGCCCCTCCCTCAGAAATAGTCGATGGGCTCTGATTGGTTAGCTAGCCCAGTGTGTTGTGATTGGCTAAACCGCGTCTAGTGCACGTCAAAACGTCCCGCCCCTCAGCTCAGCAGCATGTGCTCCGTTAATATCGCTTATCAGTTTGAGCCCGATTGAGAAGCAGATGATATTATTGAAGAGGATCGTGCAGAACCTGTGCAAGCACGGCTTTTAATAGTAGGCCTATGTTTTTTGTTTGTTGTTGTCTCATACTTTTAGATACGCTGTTATTTGTAAATGCTACTGCT